TGGTTATTAAGGGTGTGGGATACTGGTGCAAGGAATGTAACATTAGACCAGTCTGAGCTTCTTGATATGGGGCCCTAAGCACAGATTCCTCCTTCAATGTCTCAGCAAGAGAGGTGAAGAGGATCTAATTGTCTATTTGGTTGGTTGCCTGGAGCGTGGCCTGCCAGATGGCCTAGATTAGACCTACTTGAGGTGCCTGACCTACCTTGGTACATATAAGAAGGCATTCGAACCGTAGGGAAATTGGTATGTTGGAAAATGTATCTATCAGAATAACCCCATAGACCCCAAAAAACGGAGTGTCCCGAGGACGTATCTTCCACCACAACCAGGAGGAGCCAGTTTGTGAAGGGGGCCCAGCATCTGAAGACTCCTGTGACTGCTATTGCATGCGCACCAGGATTGACAGTGGGATCGCCTTACGTGAACTCCAACATTTGCCTGACACAAGCCCCCATGGCATGATCTGATATGACTCGGCTGTCACACCCTTACTCATCACAGCCCTAATCTCATGTGAGGGGCAGTTTGCCTGGCGTGTTGCCTGCGTCAAGAAGAGAGAAGCAAGCAGAGAGGGAGCTCCGTACGACCAAGAAGGAAGAGCCGGCAGGCAGTACACTGTGTTTTTTGGATCCGGCAGTACACTATGCTGAGAAGCTCCTTGACCTGGGGGGAGGTTGATGCACATGGAGCTCTCCAAAGAACCCTGGGGCCCAGAGATACTGAAGGGAGTCGAGGACCCCTCCCCAGAGCCGACCCAGGGACCCAGGGGGCACTCTGAATTTGGACATGCAGACCCCTGACTGTGAGAGAATACAATTTCCGTTTGTTAAAGGCATCGACTTGTAGTGTGTCTGTTAGAACAGCACTGGACGGTTAGGGCAACGACCTATCCTGAGACAGGCTCGTTATTCTTCACATAACATGGTCCCTCTTCAAACTAGTAGGCAGTCTCTGTCATCTGACTGCACCCCAGCTGAAAAAGTTGGTTTCTAACAGAACATGGACCTCTTACCCCTCCACGGGGTACCCTTTCGAACCTAGACGTCGCTGGAGACTGTTCTCCGCTTTGCAGGGGAGTGTGGGTGTTTCCCAGGGCGACGCAGGGAGGGCTGTGTGAGAAAACACTGATTTGAAAGGGCAGTGGTGACACCAGTCTCAGGCACAGGTGGGCAGCGCACCAGCCGTGGGACAGGCTTCGGTCCTGGAGCACCCCAGGGGAGGGTCTGAACGGTGTGAGAGCCTCCGCCCATGGAGGCCTGGCTGCACACATCGTCGCTGGCCACACTGCCCGGGATGGACTTGTGGAGTGCGGGGGCTCTGTGGGAAGTGTTTTCTTAATGCTACATGACAGACCCATGCCTCCTCCCCATGAAGGGGCACTCGGAGTCCACAGCAGTTTATGTCTGAACATGAGAAAGCTTGGCTACCCGAAACACAGGCTTTTGATGGTTTTTCTTTTCTTTTAATTCACTAGGCTGTGTTTTTAACATGGCTGGTTCAGAAGCCAGCTTTCCAGGATATTAGCGTGTAGCCAGTAGTACCACCTTCAACACTGTCTGTCTCCTCTGGCCCCCATTTCTGTGACACACTTTCTCTCTACAGTGGAGGGATGCAGCAGATGTCTGGTTCTTTTTTTTTTTTTTTGTAAAAGCGGGGAAAGAGGAAAGAATTGACTTGATGTACCTGAGAAATCACGAGATGCCCAAAGGAACGGGAAATGAACGAACACAGAACCCCTTCTTCTGCGAGGGGGGCAGGAGACCACAGGGCGATCTTTCTTTGAACATTTCGTGATTTTAATTTTTCTAGTCGTACATTCTTTAAAAGAAGTTAACAACTTCAATTCCAAAGGTAAGGATTAAATTATGAGAAGTCATCCATCGCCTGTGAAACCCCGAAAAGGAGGATTCTTAGGGCTGGACGGGCGCAAAAAACCCCGTAGAAAAGCTTCGTTTGACGCCTGGGAAGAGTCTGCGTAAGGTCACTTTTTCTTCTAAGACCGTTCCCTTGTTCCCAGTGAGAGTCTACTTGGTAATGGCTTCTGGTTCCACAGTGTTTTGCGTCTGAAAAGCGTCACTAGAGATCCTACTGAAATCACTCCAATTGCAGGTGGGGCCAGGAAGCGAACTCCCACACGGTCACCCTTCTCCTTCACTTTCGGCCGAGACCCCAGGGGCGGAGAGGGAGAGTCCTGCCTTCCTCGCCCTGGGGCCGCCCTTGGCAGGGGCATGGGGAGGCTGTGGTGAGGCTGTGGTGCTATCCAGGGGCGGCGCTTGGCGCTGGTGCGAGGCTCGGTGTGCTTACTGCGGGTGGTGGATGTGGGCCCCGCACAGTTCGGGGGCCACAGACGGGGTGGGGGCTCTGGCTGACCATGGCTCCGGGCACACACTGCTGGGCATGGGGAGGAAGCACGCTCCCTGACGGGAACGGAGCAAAGCCTAGGCGAGGACCTTCTTGCTTCAGCGACCCCTCTCCTGGCGGGGGCCGGCGGTCACTGCTGGGACAGGAGGGCGCTCCGGTTGGCTTTCATTTTCTCCAGACGCTTCACTAAGTGGCCGTTGCTGACCTCCAGCTCTTCCGTCTTGTCCAGGGCGGAGCGGAGCTGGAAACAGAGAGAGCAGCCCGTGAGTTTCATTCCTCCAAAGCCGACAGGGCCAAGATCCCAGCCCCGAGGGAGAAAGATATCACACCCGGGAGCCGGGGGAATCTGAGAAAGACATCCACACTCACGCCTGCGTGTGCACGTGGGCACGCATTGTTTCTTTTCTCAGATAAAGATTTCGGATTTATAGTCCTCCATGATGTTGTCATGAACATCATGGTGAATGAAGAAGAAACTGACTTCATTCTACGTGATCTACAGCCGACACCCGCAGAAGCAGCAGTCAGGACCGCCTCGCACCACCCCGCCTCTGGGACACCTCCGGGGAAAGGCCTCGTCTTTAAAGAAGTCAGCATCAAAGGTGTCACTTGGAAGACTAAGGTGCCCCTGGCCCAAGCCGTGGTCTTTTCAAAGGTCCCAGAGGCGTGCGAGAGGCAGACCATAGAGAAACCGAGGCAGAAGAAGGGGCGTATCTGAAGGATGGCCCAGGGAGACCACTGACCAGAACGTGGACTTGCCGAAGAACGAGCAGGTCGGCCTTAGAAGGAACACACCCCGAATGCGCCTCCGGAGTGAGGCTGCAGAGACCTGGTTTCACTTGCTTCTGACAAGTCATCAGGGGAGACCAGCGGTTGGAAAAGTGGAGGGTCAGTGGGAATGAGGGACTCCCTTGAGGAGATGCCGCGAGGTGGAGAACTCACTGTGACCGTGATGGCTCAGAGGCGGTCACTACTTCTTTCTGGTGGGCGCAAGGCCCCCGCGAGCCAGGGACGACCGCGTCAGCTGCTCACGACAGCTGCCCGGTGGTCCGGGATGGGGCTTCAGTGAGCAACCAGCGGCAGGCTCAGCGGCAGGGACTCCTCCCTCTGGGCTCCCACCTGCGCGACCGCCCGTCACCCCTTCTTTTTCCAGAAACAGCCTAGGGAAGCTACCTCTCTTTGGAGTTTTCGTTTTTCAGCCTTAAGTTCATCTTCTACTTTTTCTGCATTTTCAGCAGCCGATTTATAACGTGATACTTGACTCTCTAACCTTATTACCTAAAAGAAAAGGAAAAAGCAGGGGCGTGAACCGACGAGGCCCGAGGCCTCCTCTCTGCAGACGCCTGGTCGCACTCAAAGGACCCAGCACGTGGACGGCACCATCGAGGTCTGTGGTTCTCACGAGCGCCCACCGGACAGGTCATTCGGTGTCCAGTGCGCCCTTAGTGACACCCACAAGGGTTGTCTCCTCGTTGTCCCTCATCTAAAGGGCTGTCCACTGTGCTGAGCCTTCTGCCTTCAATTCCATCTCAGCCCTTCCTGGGATCATTCTGTTGGAAATTGGGTACATCGAGGCAATGTCCCTCAGGTCATCTCCCAGACCTTCTGGTCTAAGGGTGGTGGGGGAGGGGAGGGACAGCAGGTGAGAGGGGAGGAAAAGGAAGTGAGTCCGAGAAAGCAGAGTCCGAGCAGGAGGCTGTGGACTGGCAGGCACGGTCAAGGGCCTGTGGTCAGAGACAGGGGTGAGGCTGACCCACCACCGAGGGCCACAGGGACCAAAGACCGTGCTTCCGAAAAGCGCATCCCCTTCTGTGGATGCTGCTCCCAGAATGTTGCAGCTACTTCTACCCACAGTGGAGCGGGAAATGACCTCTGTTTTATTCCTCCCCCCTTGGAGTACGGACCCCTGGTGGCGCAGTGGTTAAACACTGGCCAGCCGTTTGAAAAGGCCAGCTGTCCCAGGGGAGAAAGATGGGGCTTTCCACGTCCACCAGGAGTTGCGATTTCGGAAACCTGCATGGGCGGTTCGGTCCTGCTCTACCAGGTCGAGTAGGAATTGACTCGAAGGCCGTGAGCCGCTCTTTGTTTTGTGGGTAACGACTGAGTTCTGGGACGTGGCAGGCGGCTAGTGCACGTGGCTGCTCCCTGACTGGTGGAAGGTTCAGCATACCTAGCAGAACCTCGCAAGGAAGGCCAGGCTCCCTTCCCACAACAAAAACTGGTCATGGAAAACCGCAGGGAGCCCCCTTGTGCTTGCAATCAACTCTCCGCCTGCTTTTGTCTGCGTGGGTGGGCTCTACATGTCAGAAGCAGGAGTGGTCCAGATCTAGAAACCAGGACTCACTCGTCCGCCTGGCTGGAGGGAAAGGGGACCCCCAGGTGGGCGGGGGTCTCAGCAGGAAGGGCTTTAAAATGAACAGCGCGAGGACTCAGACTGAAACTCTGGTCCACATTAGCCTTTTCTTGCAGGTAAACGCACTGCCCTCGAGCGGATGCTGGCTGCTGGCGAGCGGGTGGGTCGGAGCAGAACTGTCCTGCAGGGTTTCTGAGGCTCTTGTCTTTAAGGAGACAGACTGCCAGGTGCGGAACCGTGGTGCCACCAAGACTCGCTGTCCAAACTACAGCTCCACTCGCTGTCACCACGTCAATGCTGACTCACAGGGATCCCATAAGACAGGACAGACTGCCTCTGTGGCTGTGGGTTTCTGAGCCGGTTACTCTGTGTGAATAGAAAGCCCGGCCTTCTCGCTTGGATCTGCCGGTAGCTTTGAACTAGCAACCTTGAGGATTGCAGCCCAGCTCGTGACCACGGTGTCCCAGGGCTCCTCCTCCCTCCGACTAGCCAGTGCTTATAAAGCACCAGCATCCCTTAGAAAGGGAGCCCTGGTGGCAGAGTGGTTACACGTTGGGCTGCTAACTGTAAGGACAGCAGTTCAAAACTACTACTGTTCCACAGGAGAAAGGTGAGCTCTCTACTCCCCTGGAGTCAGTCTTGGAACCCCCCAGGGGAAGTTCTACTCTGCCCTAGGGGGTTGTATGAGTCGTAACCAACTCAAGGGCAGTGAGAGTTTAGAACACTGCCAATCCTAACAGTGGCCCTCCTCTCTCTGTCATTTCCTAGGGTCCTTTGTCCAGACCTGACCCCCCGGCCCCCCCCCCCCCCCCGCGAACCTGTCTGTACTGAGAAAGGCTCAGGCAGCCCCCCAGGGCCACTCCTTAGACAGCCACGTGTGCCCTGCGCACGCCTCTGGCCAACCTGACTGCTCGAGAGCCCCACGCACATTTTGCTCTAACGTCGTGATCTCCTGCTCGGATTTCGCAAGCTTGAACTTGAGGTCACTGATCTGCCGGTTGGCATCCCCTAGAAGCAGAGAGAGAGAGAGAGAAGGAGAGTATGCTGGGAGCCAGGCCTTCTTTACGGTTATCTTATTAATCTGTAAGTTCTGGACGGGGGCTCCTGACCCGGGAGAGGGCTCGCTCTCTCCCACGTACTCAGGCTAGGAGGGTGGTCTCCCCACTCCTCTGCACAGGGGGACGTGCACCTGTGAGTACAGAAGACAAAGTGGTGGTGGGGAGGGGTGGGAGGAGGAGTGGGGAGAGACTGGGCGTCGTTTTCTCGCTTGTAAAGTCTCTACCGGACACATTTGGTTAAGCATTTGCCTGCTAGATGCCAGGCTGCTGTTCAAGCACCCCCCCCCACCACCCTCACCCCTCCGGCAGGCCTGGTGCGCTCCGCTCTGTCTCAGAGATCGCAGTCAGGGCGCCCTATGGGCACAGTTGTGCCCGACTCACACAGGATGCCGAGGAGTCGAAACTGACTCCACAGCACATGGGTCTTTAAGGGTTGTGCACGTGCGTGGGAAGCCTGCTTCTAATGGATCCGCACGGAAAAAGGCGGGTGAAGAGATTGGTGTGTCTGGCAATGGGAATGTGGTTTCTATGAAGGAACTCTTCCTAGGAAGGAGCTGGGCGGCATTGGGACACCGGCTCACTCCTTTACAGGCTCCGAATGAACGCCCTTGTCTACCCGTCCGCCCCTCATGGCTCGGTGGGGCTGGGCACTTGCTGCTATGGTGGCGTTTTCTAGCCTCCAGCTGAGGGCAACCCAAAGGCATCCCCCGTGCGTGCATGCCCTTACTCTGTAGATCCACAAGGTGCACGTCAGTCCCATTCTCCAGGACCTCGCCTTCAGGCCTCAGGGTGTCCGTGTGGCTGTTCTTCTGTTTGTGTTCCAGCTGCCCTTTGAGTTTCTTAACCTGAAACACAGGCCCAGGTCAGGGATGCTAATTTCTCTGTTCTAACCCAGACCCAGCCACGGAACTCAGAGGCGATCAGAAAGACAGTAGAGAGCAAGGAGAGAATGAGAGCCAACGCCGTCCGTATCATTGGCTCCCCATTTGCAGCGACTGACTCACCCAGACACAAACGGGTCTGTAACGCTGCGTGAAGTGTTTCTCAAATTAAAGTTCCTCGCCAACTCAGGAGCCAGAGTAAGACCTGTGCTTGCTTGTGGTGCCGTGACTCTGTGTCCAGTCACTTCTGACCCAGGGCGACTCGCGCCACAGCATTTCCAAGGACGTGACCCTTCGGATGGACACAGGTCACCAGGCCGTCTTCTGAGGCGCCTTCCAAAGCCCCAAGAATCAAACACTGCCATCAAGTGGATTCGACTCAGAGCCCCCCCTACAGCACAGGGCAGAACTGTCCCTGTAGGTTCCCAAGACTACATTTTTATGGGAGTAGAGAGTCCAATCTTTGTCCTGTGGAGTGGCTGGTGGTTTTGAACTCCTGACCTTGCAGTTAGCAGTCCAGTGTGTAATCCACAATGCCACTGGGGCTCAAACCACCAACCTTTTGGCTAGTTGCCAGATGCTTAATTGTGTGCAAAATGCTTGCCTAGAAGTTGCTCAATTATCGTGCGGCCAGGCTTTGCTGTGTTGACTAAGCAGCTCAAGAGAAGGGGTGATCTGGAGGTTTCTGGGTCCAGAACCATGATTGCACCCCAACACATCTGGGTGTCCCCTCAAAGCGCCTGGAGTTTCAGGGAGTTCTCAGCCCCTGTGTATGACGTGTCTCTCCTCGTTCCAATGAGCAAAACGGGCCTGGTGCGAGCACACAAAATCCTCACAGGGTAGGTGGTGGAGACATGTGTGGCCAAGCCCTAGGAAACCTCCGCTCAATGAGGGACCCTCAGCAGGTGATCACCCGCCTGCTACCCAACACACAGACCATGTGAGCCCACCACCCACCCCCTGAGAGAAAGGCAAGAGTCTGCTTCTGGAAAGACCCATAACCTTGGGAACCCTGGGGGTGGTGGTGGTGGCTGTTCTCGGCCTGCAGGGCAGTTCTCTGAATCAACCCAACACAAAGGATTTGGTATTTCTTTGGCTATCACAAATGATATGGCTATTTTCTTAAAGCAGCCATCCATTGGGACACCATAGTTCATTGGGATCTGCTTGCTTGTAGCACCTGGTGGTGTGGATTACTCGCTGGGCCGCAAACCGCAAGGTCAGCAGTTCAAACCCACCAGACACTCTGAGGGAGAAAGATGAGGCCCTCGGATCCTGTAAAGATCTACAGCCTCAGACACCCACAGGGGTACCTCTACTCTGTCCCTGAAGGTTGCTATGAGTCAGAATCGACTGGATGGCAGGGAGGTGAGTTTGTTGCTTGTGTGGTCTGTGTGTGGGGATTGAACCGGACCTTTTGGGTAGTGGCCAGGCGCTCTGGAACCGCTGTACCACCAGGGATCCGTGGCACTATGATAGATACGAGAGCGTGGGAAGTTGGGCAACATCTCCCCATCATAGTTAGTGCTTTACCCAGTTCTGAGAGGGATTGGCCACAGACTGGTGAAGAGACAGGCCAATACCTTCCCTTGGGGCTCTGAAGAGAACTTAGACATTACGTATCCCGAGTTGGGGGCTAGGGGCTGCATTCATAAGGATTCCGCCAACACAGAAAGACCAAATAGGGCGAGTGAGTAGTTCCTGAGGTCATTTAAAGAAAGAACACCTTTGACCTGCCGGACACAGGTAGAGCTGAGGAAACAAGCTGCCCACCTGAGAGGGCTTTTGAAGGCGATGAAAAAACTGGCCTCATGAACAACTAAGAGCAGGGATGTTGGGAGGGGCCTTGGCCTCCCGTGCTTCATTTATAGCACGGCTGGGGAGCGTGTGGCCTGAGGGCAGTGGAGGGCCCACGGAATCACCAGTGCCAGCTAACACCCCACGCCTCACCAAAGGGCAGTGGCTCCAGTCATCCACGCAGGGCTGAGTGTTGGACCAGCACAGCCCACAGAGAGGGCTATGAATACCTGAGTGGTATTTGGCAGAAAAAAGGTCGCCTCTTCTCCCCAGATCTACAGGTTCCCAAACTTATTAGGTCTGTAGCCCCCTTTTCAGAGAAAAAAAAGAGAGATAAAAGACCAAACAAGCTCCTCAGTGCCCCTCCCCAGGTAATTACACACTGGGACGGTGGCCCACGGTCCAGGATGAGGCGTAAGCACCTGCTTCTGCAGCGCCCTCTGGGTCACTGCAGCACACCCCTCTGCCGGTGTGTGTGTGTGTGTGTGTGTGTGTGTGTGTGTGTGTGTGTGTGGTGGTGCCTACTTTGGGAAACACGGAGTTCTAGACCTTCTACCAAAGTGCTTATTTTAGATCATATATCCAGCATATCAAATCCGTGCCGCGCACACTGTCGAGATGCTCTCACTCGATCGCACGCACTTGCATTCTGTCTGTTGTTGGATGCCATGCAGTTGGCCCCCCGACCCTGCACCGCACCCCTCCTCCCAGTGCGTAGTGGTGGGCTGTGCCGTCCTGGGGATCCATGGGACTCTCACTGGGTGTTTTCGGAAGCCGATCGCCAGGCTTTCTTCCTGGTCTTAGTCTGGAAGCCCCACTGATGCCTGCTCATCGCCAGAGCAGCATGCCACCTCCAGGAACAGCTGAGGGGTGGCTCTGCACGAAGTGCACTGGCCAGGAAGCGAGCCAAATCCCTGGTAGTGGGTGAGCGTCCTCCAGGGCCCACCATGTTCCACTTGGGTATGATGACCAACAACAGGGCTGCCGGGCTGCTCGACCATTATCCAAGTCAGGGGCTTCTGGAGGGGGCACGGCCGGGCCGAGAACACGCCACACGAGGTGGAAAAGGGCCTTACCTGCTCCAGCAAGCACTCACGCTCGTCCACCAGCTTTTTCAATCTGATATCTGAAGGAATCAGAAAGACACGGGTTCAGGGGCAGCTGGGTGTGCCGCCGGTCAGCACACCCCCCCGACAATGACGGCTCTGTTAGTGAAATGAACGATGAAGGTGGGTCCACACGTACCATGATGGATGAGGTCACACACAGGATGGGATGGGGGCGGGTCAGCCAAGGGAGCGTGCGTCAACCAGAACATGCGGTCGTGTCCGGAGCAGCTGCCGGGGGCATGCAAACGGGCTAGTCTTCTACTGTAGGGCAGCATGCAAGAACGCTAGGGCCAAACCACACTGCAACACAAAACCTCAGAGGCTCACGGTTGACATCATTAGCAATGTACCAACACACCGGTGACCACAAGGACGAGCCACCAGCATCCTGATGGGGCTTGTCTTCCTAAGCCCTGGTCCACCCCCGACCCCCCAACTCCTAGAACCCGCAAGACTCAGAGTTAGGATGCTATGTTTCCTAAAGCTGCAAACACCACGTTTGGTCTGTTCACTCATTCAGCAGAGGAGTGATGGCTGTGATTCTTTTCAGGGATAAGGCAGTGGCAGCCTGGGCCTCTGGAATCCCTTCCCTCCCAGGAAGACCTGTGAGGATACCGGGGTGGACACAGCTGCTGGCTGCCCCAGCAGCTCTCAGAAGGGGTCATCTCGGCCACGTGGATTTCAGAGTGGGGCAAGGAAGTGAGATAGCTGGGGGGTAGGGGTGGGGAGCACGGAGGTCACAGCACGCTATGCCCATAATTCAGTGTCAGGCATGGTTCTAAGCAAACATCCCACTCACTCCTTTTGACCTCACAAGGCCCTGTGGGTGGGCAAGGATGTCTGCTCTTCTGTAGTGGAGGATCCGAGGTCCAGGGCAATGAACTTGGCTTTCCCAAGGCTCTGGGCACATCCGTCCCAGCTCCAGGGTCTTTACAGCCTAAACTGGTCTGGGTCTGAGTGGGCCTCTGGCTCTACCTCGGGAAGGGACAGTGCTCTCCCCTGATTTAGCTCTAAATGCCTCATGGATCGAAAAAAAAAGAGAAAAGAAAGAAAATAACCTTGACAAGTCTTGGGGAATGAAAGTAGTGACAATAAAATGCAGCTTCGTTTGCGTTAAACATAAAACCATCTATCCACATTCTCAGGTAAATGGATTTCCAGGTCTCTAATTTGGGGATGGGTGGCGGGGGTGGGCAACCAACGCTGTCGCTCTGAAAGGCTCAACAACAAAAGGAAACCGAGGCCCGTATTCAGTTCTACTCAGTCAGGTGGCTTTTTAATCGCCGCTTATTGTTCTTCCCCATAAACCCACCCGGCGCTCAACAAAAACTGGGTGACAGTGACGACCCAGCTCTCTCCTTCAATACCCTCACGTCTCCTCTGGTCTCCAGCGGCTTACACTCTCGGGCACACCAGCCACAGGCGTGGTAAGAAGCTCCCAACAGATGAGAAAGTGATCTTGAGGCACGCGTATTTATTGTCCAGTTGTGTTTTCTGTCGAAAGACTTCCAATACCCACAGCGGCTGACAGAGAGGAATGCTGAGACGGAAGCCTCCCTCCCCCCTCCTCCCCCCTCCTCCAAGGCACTGTGGTTTTCAGTAGTGAGAATAGGGGAAATAGAGAGAGGACCGAAACTCTGAGGAAGAAAATGAAATTGTGGAAAGAAGAGGGAACAAGAGTAGCGAAAGGCTTTGCTAAGAATGCAGCAAGAGCTTTGCTTGAAACATTGGCTGGGGGAATGGCGATACATTGTAACTGCTCAGATAACTGGCTAGCTCTCGGGAGCTTGCTCTCCACTGGCCAGTCCCACTGCTGTTCTCAACGAGACAAACCAGCCACTGCAAGACAGCGGCTGCAGCCTGCAGAAGGAGGCCATGGCCCCAAGTCCAGAGTGTTCTTTTGCCCTTGGAGGTAAAAGCACTTCAGTGACACTGTAGAAGGATGAGATTAAACCAACCAACCAACCTGCCTTTTATATATTAAACCTCAACGCATCTTCTGATACACATTTGAGATCCCTGAATGAGAATGTTTTTGTGAGAACCACCCTGGCAGGACACCAAGACTGGGACTCTGGGTGTCCCCCACTCCCCGAGCCTGTCTGTCTGCCCATCAGCAGCTGGTCTGTCCGTGGGCAGAACAGAGCCGGCTCACAGCACTAGCAGGCAGTCGGCCAAGTGCCAGCACTCCGCACACCAAGTCTGGATCCTGTCCTCACTGCAACTCCCATGAGGCAGCGGGTCTAGGCTCACGTTCAGGGGCATGAAGGGGTTCCGGGGGCTTTTTCTACTCTCCCCACATGGAGCAGTTTCACCCTCCCAGAGACCAGCCTCACCCCTTTTAATCTGCCCCCCCAAGACTCCTGCTCCCTCTGCCACCACAGCAGGCCTCCGTTCATGGTGCCCGCGTGTCACCAAGCAAAACTGCCCATTGGGGTTTTCCAAGCTGTGCTGCTTACAGGCTGGGATGCCAGGCCCTGCAACCCGAGGAGGGGTCGCAGCCTTCACTGCCCGCAAGAGGCAGGGCAGGGCAGGGTGAGGCACAGCACCACAGGGTGAAGGAGTTGAGCTGGATGGGGGTGGGTGGGTGGCAGAGGGCACTCACAGCAACCGGTATACGGGAGGTCTGTGATGAGTGCAGAAAGGAAGGGAAGGAAAAAAGCACCCCCCCCAAAAGACAGTCACATAAACACACAGATAGGCCCACAGGATCATGTACATGTATGCATGCACACATGCACGCAACTAGACAAAGGATTATCCATGTGCTCAAATGTATACATACACACGAGTATACATAATGGACTCCTATACACACACACCCAGACATGGATACATGTCTATGCAATCACGTGTGTATATGTGTGATGTATGTGTTGAACATGGGGTTCCTGAGTCAGAACTGACTTGATGGCACCCAACACCCACCCCCCCCTACACACACACCCCTCACTGCCAGCGAGTGGATTCTGACTCCTCTCCACCCCACAGGACAGGGGTAGAAGCGCCCCTGTGAGTTTCTGAGGTTGTACCTCTTGCTGGGAGCAGAGCGCCTCGTCTTCCTCCAGAGAAGCAGCTGGTGGCTGCTCAGAGCTGCTGCCATGTGGTGAGCAGAGCCCGTGTGTCACCACCATTCACATTCTAATCATCTCAGAGAAGCCTCTCCTTCCCTTGGGGAGCCCACACCCTTCCCTTCCCCCTTCTTGTGGCCACTTGTCTTGAGGGCCACGAGGACTGACCCGTGCTACCACACGGCAACCTGGGAAACCACTTTTCAACAGAGAACAGAAGTTGAACAGGAACCACCCAGATTTTGCACCCCAGCATCCCAGGGAGCACAGGAACTGAACCGCTCCGGTCCCAGGGTTTCCCGTAACCACAACTACCTGCCCTTACAGCAAACAGCCAAAGCCACGTGTCCTTCACGCTGGTCCCAAATCCTTTGCCATTGCTCTCACCCGTAGTGTATTAGAACGAAGCGCCTGCATTGGGAGGCTGCCTCCTGTTTTCCACACGTACTCGCAACCACACTTAAGTATGCCTTTGAAACCCAAAACACTGCCTCTGGTAGGTGCCAACCCATAGAGACCCCACAGGGCACTACATTAACTCTCCATAGGGGTAGAAAGCCGTGTCTCTACGGCTTTCAACCAGTGGCTGCTGGTTTCAAACTGCTGATCTTGTGGTTAGCAGCCCAATGTTCATAACCCACTCCGCCCCAGGCTCCTTCCGAGGCTACTGGGGGACTAAGAAGACATGGAGGTGGGTAGGTACGCTTTAGACTAATCAACCTTCGGAGATCAAAGGTCAGTCTGTGGCCAGGGGTGGGGTTCGGAGGGTGTGGAGGAGGTGGGGTTGGGAAGGAGAGGAGGGCTGGAGCCAGTGGACCCGGGGAGGAAGTGGGCGAGGTGGTGTGGACTGCCATCAACGACAGGAAACAAGATGTGCAGGGATGGTTGAATGGAAAACTGATCTGCTCCATAAACCTTCACCCCATACTCATGATAAGGAGGCGTCACAGAGTGGAATCACAGGCACTTTGAGTGACAAAAACTTTATTGTCATGACATCACAACACTTAGAATGGCCTCTAGTCCTGCTGAGGCGCTGGTCTCTTGTAACAGCTACACAGACTCACTCCATCTCGCAAAGTAGGTGTTCAGTGTACACAGCCCTGGTGCTTGTAATCTTTTACAGTGATTTTCCTAAATGCTTCTTTATATAGGAAAAATATATTTTTTTCAGGCAGATGTCCTCCCACCCCCAGTAAGAATACATTGAAAAACAGTAAGTGAAGATACGCACACCAAAATACAAGACACGACCCAACTATTAAGAAAACAAACAAAAAAAATTTCTAGTCTCATTGTAAATTTTTGGCGGGGGTTCTTCTGAATAATGATTAGACACCCAAATAAAAAGAGAAGTTATTTTCAGGTTAAACAAGCAAAAAAAGAATCAATTGTGAAAACGACTCACACCTTCCCCTATGTTCCAAAGGGGCAGGATGGCCATTTCAACACGTATCTTTTCCAGAATGCAAAATAAAAACAATTAGCATCTTTGTATGCAAGTAATTTGGTACATAATCAGCATGAAGTGAAGCCAAAATCTCCTACAGAATAAATCCAGGTACCGTCGACCGTGAGGCCCTGGAGTTTTGGTTTGAAATGAAATCCTTCTGGGAGGTGAAGACAAGAGAGGTTTCCCTTGTGCTTGATTACATTCAGCTTGTCTTGAAAGCGATCGGTTGCCATGCTGCAGGGGCATTATCTCATCATCCAGTGGGCTAGGTGCTATTGTGTCCCCTTTAAATACAACACCATACAGGTGAGAAGGCCCATGTTAAAATCAAATATGAAAACAGCCCCATCCGAGCATGGAAAGCCCACTGATACCACCATTAATCTCACACTGACAGCTCGACACCCTGTTTGGTCCTTCAGTGACTCGCTCCTCAGTTTGGTCGAGAACACCCACGTTGTCATCAGCCTCCAGCTGGGGTGCACCAGGGTTTTGTGTTTTTTTAAGCAGACTGTTAAGCAGGGGCAGGGACTGTGTCCAGCATGGTTTGATGCCAATGGACCAGCAGTTCTCAATCTGTGGGGTTGCCCAATTCATAACAGTAGCAAAATGACAGTTATGAAGTAGCAACGAAAATAATTTTATGGTTGGGGAGGGGCGGTCACCACAACATGAGGAACTGTATTCAAGGGTCACAGCATTAGGATGGTTAAGAACACCTGGTGGGGACCAGGGTGTGTGACTTTGTGTTCTGGGTGCTAACAGTCATGCTGATTGGGTCTAAGCCTATCAGTCAGGTAACTGATGTCAAGGGGTCAATGACTTGGGTGATGGGTGCCATACAATACGTCTATGCCCGTTTGGAATGTTTTCTGTAAATCGTCAGTGGACATGAAAGAAAACAGCCTCTTGACAGTTCAAGCCCTGGTGCCAAGTCCTTGGTGCCCCCTCTCAGCACGCCCCCCCACCCCTCCCTTCCCTGGGCCGCCGCCTCCACTCAGGACATTGTACAATCTTCCTTGCTTTTCCCCTTCTCGGTCCCACCCCGTGGATCTTCTCTGCCTTCTGACTCTAGGTCCCCCGGCTCCTCCGAGGGTGCCGACGCCTGGTGTTCTAGGCCGGTGCTCCCCACCGCGTCCCCGGGGGTCGGACTGGGCAGTGCTGGCATCGCATGCCCCTCCGTGCTGCCTGCCTGCGAGGCACCGCCGATGTCCTCCTCGGGGTCCACAGAGCTGCCTTCAGCAGTGTCTCCTCTTCCCACGGTACCCTTACCAACGCTTTCAGCCGCTTCTTGATCGCCAGCCCCGGTGCCTGACGGTACCGGGGTGTCCTCTGCAAAACTGACCGCGTCTCCAGAGAGTCCTCTCCCGGCCACAGTCTCCATGCCCTCGTCTTCTTGGCTGAGTGTCCCGTTCAACTCGATGTCAGGACCCTCCGGCCTGTCAGTGCTCTCCGGGACCGTCTCCGGCACAGCGCTTCGCGGCCCCTCGGTGCCTCCGCCCTGCTTTTCCTCACTCCCTTTGCTCTGATCCGCCTTCTGAAGTGTCGCCTCCTCCTTCGCGTCTCCCAGGGTTTCCACTGTGACGGGCGGCTTCTTTTTCTTGTTCTTCTTCTTCTTGTTCTTTGTCTTCTTCTGTGGGGAGTCCGAGGGTTCTCCCCCACGGCCACGCTTGTCTTCCTCGGGTTCGTTCAGATCCAGGGGCTCACCCCCAGGACCCGCCTCCCCGGCCCCCTGAGCGTGCTGACGGCTGCCTGCGGCTGCAGGACAGCAAGGAGGGGTGTGGACTCGGGTCTGCGTGTGTGCCTCCCCCGCAGGCTCTGCCCCACCGTCCTCTTCCTCGTCCTCCCTCTCGGCCTCGACCCGCTGTGCCAGGGTCTCCTGGAGCTCAGTGGCTTCCTGGTTGGCGCCCTCCTCCTCGAAACTGCGTGCCGTGTTTGCGTCTTCAGGGGCATCTTTCGTGTGGTTTCCATCTTGATTCACGGGCTCTTCGTGACCCTCAGGAGGACTGGAGGCCACCGTGCCTGCGTGATCCCCAGTGCGAGCCACCCCTGCCTCTTCCGCAGCCTCTGTGGGGCTCCCGCGAGCAACCGTGGCGTGTGTACTGCCTGCCCTGTCACCTTCGGGTCTGTGTGGAGGACCAGACTCCAGACAAAGGGGGGCCCTAACCTCTCCCAGTTGGGCTTCACCATCCTCTTCGCTCCCGCCTGCCTGCCTTTCATCCTGCTGATCCAGGGCATTCCCGTGGCACTGCTCTGCCTCGGTGGGGTCTGTGCACTCGAGCTTGGGAGCCTCGGGGCACGTGCCAGGCCCATTGCCTGGCACGCTCTCTGGACGCTCCTCACTTGCCGCAGTGGCTGGTGCTTCTGGGGGTGGGGCCTGGCCTTCGGCGGGTCTCTGGTCCTCGGGGTTGGGCGCAGGTGGTGACCCCGCTGGGTGGGCATGGTCCTCCCCGCCGCCCTCTGTGTGCTGCTCGCACCCAGCCTCTTGCAAGCTGGCTCCTCGCCCCATAGCCGCCACCATTTCATTGTCCACCTCCGCTGCTCGGGCTCTTCCTAAAAGATCATTGAGAAAATTGAAGGGACCACATGGCATGGCGTCCACTTGAGAGCTAACCAAGGCCAACATGTGTCCCTACTCCCTCCCGCGCCCAGGCCACCAGAGAGAGTGAGAGAGAGAGCGCGCCCCCAGGACCGAACGGGATAGAAGCCTTGCCAGTTGTGTGCGGCAGAGCAGGGGTGCACTAGCAAACCAACCAGCAGAGGCCGCCGCCACCACCACCGGACAGTCAGGAGTGACCTTGGCACTATCCTGAGTGACGTTTGCACCAAGAGTGAGCCGTAGGCCAAGCAGCAGAAGAACCCATGAAGCTGAGGTTTAGGAGTGGACTTGGCCCTGGGTCCCTGTCCTCATCTAGGTGCACACAGGTCAGACTGTCCCCCGTGTCTCACACAACCCTAAAGGGGCTTTCGAGCGACTTGTTAAAGGGACACGTAGCTCACGTGAAGAAACTTCACCTGCTTTAAGGTCAATTGTTTTCTATTATGGAAAGAATCCCGCCTTCTACCACCCAACCAGTGCATGCTTTTCCGAGACAACATCTCGGGCTGCACCCTAAAAACAGCTGCTCTGTTCGTTCCTAAAACGAAAAAGCCAAAGTCGGGTGGAGGCCAACCCACAGCAACCTGCAGGACAGGGCAGATGTGCCCTGTGAGTTTGAGATGGTTTCACTCTTTACGGGAGTAGAAAGCTCCCAGTTCACCCCTCGTTTGGAGCAGCTGGGGGTTCGGAACTGTTGACCCTGTGATTCACAGTCCAACCAGAACCACTGTGCCAACCGGGCTCCTTTCAGAATGAGGCAAATGCTCAAGATCAAGAAGGCTACTTATCCATTCAACAATCAATGAAAGAAACATCGGGTTACCCTGGGGATCGAAGTTACGTTCTGGGTTCTCCAAGCAAATGCAACTGAGGCATATTGGATACCCTCTCGAACGCCAAGTTTGGTAACTTCAGAGGCTGTGGGCTTTCCCTGGGGAGAACGGAGGAGACCAGCTGAGCGACTACATTAGTCGGCTTTACTTCACGCTAGTTCTACTTCGTTTAAAACGAGTAAAGGTCAACATTGAACTTTTAAAACGTCTGCTATTGTGCATGTCTTAGGATTCATCTCTGGTAGTAATGAAGTCACCCCCCCGCCCCCACTTTTCTTCTGACCACGGTGGGTGATCGAAACAAATACAACAGAACAGAAGGCATCTGGAAGCTACTTCCCAAGTGGTCCTGGAAGCATCTCGCAAATCGTGGTCTGAGTTCAATACAAACGCGTGTTCAACCGAGAGTGAAAACCACACCAAATTCGCTGCCACCGAGTCGATATGGACTCACAGCGACCCGAAGGGACAGGGTAGAAGTGTCCTTGTGGGTTTCTGAGGCTGCAACTTTTTGCGGGACTAGAAAGCCTCATTTTTCTCCCAAGGAGCGGCTGGTGGGTCCAAACGGCTGACCTTGCGGTGAACAGCTCAGTGCGTAGCCCACGATGCTGCCAGGGCTCTGCAGTCAAATTCCTGGCTACCTAGGACGCTACTGCAAAAGTGTGATGGAAATGAATGACTGATCCTCTTTCAGCAACTTTGACACACTTCCCAGAGCTGTGGTTCTCTAACTTACACCACAGCGATGGCATGGCCGCCCCCCTAGGACGGGAGGCTTGAGAAGCTCCAAACTCAAACTCAGACACACTGCCCTTGGTCAATTCTAACTCAGAGCCATTCTATAGCACAAAGTAGACTGCCCTTGTGAGTTTCCAAGACTGGAACTTGTTACGGGAGTAGAAAGTGTTGTCTTTCTCCCATGGTGCGGCTGGTGGTTTTGAACTGCTCACCTTATGGTTAGCAGCCCAGTGCCTAACCACTATGCCACCGCTTACGGTGCACTGTACCATTCCATCTATCAAAAGACATAGGAGGCACGTTTCTAAATTGAAATGAGGATTGTGGTCCCAGTGTCATGCCAGCCTTAATTCATGAAGCAGCGGGGGCCCAGAACTAGGCCACCCTGGCTGGTTGCAACCTGAGGCTGGAGCCCAGGAATGGGAGGCTTGATCAAGCCCTGGAGTCAAGACAGACAGCCCTCAGAGGGATGTTTGTCAACGAGCCTCGTCAGAGTGGTGACTTGCACAAGCAACTTCTGGGAGCTGCTGGATCCCCAGTTAATATTCTTCCAGAAGCAATACTTCAGGGACCGGCCATGTAGGGGGCACCACCTCTGTCAACAGGGCAGGTCTGCTCAGAGTGTCCTCTCTCATGGACTGCCTGTTCATCCTGGGAGGCGGCTGCAGACCAGCACGAAGGGATGGGGGACTGGGCCCAGCAGCAGCCCACCACCCCAGGCAGCCCCTACCTCGGAAGGTGTGCAGGGCGTATCTGGGCCATGGCCTGACCACTCCCTGGACAACCTCTGACCTCTGGAGCCCTCTCACCCAAGGCCCGCTACAACGGCCACCCACTGGGATGTGGAGAGGACACACAGCCATCAGGGTCTCAAACTCCTCCTCATGTTCAAGGCGGCTGCGAGAAGCAACAGAATGGAGCCGAAGCCATGGGGGAGCCCAAAGAGGTGCATGCCAGACCACCTGGGGGCGGCCGTGAGGGGACACACAGACGGCATGCCAGGTGACAGTGACTCCATCAGTGGTGAGGACGGTGACCTGGCAACGCTGCCCGGCAGAGGGAGGTCCGAGGTGGCCAGTACTTACCAAGCGGCCCGTCGCCTGTGGACGTGAGGGCACCCGCCTCCTCTGTGGTCGCCGTGGGGGGGCTGGGGAGGCTGAGGCCGTTAAGGGTGCTGTTGGGGGCTGCTTCTGCATTTAGGATGATTCCGTGTTTCTGGAGACAAGAACAGGCTTCTTGTCACACTCACCGGGTGCAGCTGGGCAGACTCAGTCACAGGGACAAGGGCAGGGACAGCGGCGGGGAGGACGGTCCTTCCCCATGGGGGAGGCCGCCTCACAAATGCAAGGGTGTGTCTCAACACTGACCCCTGGGCTATACTATCAGCACACAGGGCTCTGAACCTCGTGCCCTGTGCCGTGTCTGGGCTGCAAGGGTGTAGGTAGAGGCCGAAGGTGTGACAAGACCCGGCCAACTGGCCGAATCAGAGGCTGAGCAGGGCCTTGCCCCTAGCTCACTGCTGTCCTGCCCACACTGATACACAGCCTTCAGTTGTCCAGCCCTTGGCTGCTCTGTTTCTCTAGAGCAGTGGGTCTCACCCTTCCTAATGCCGTGGCCCTTTCGTACAGTTGCTCATGTTGTCCTGGCCCCCCCCCCCCCCAACCATAAAATTATTTTCGTTGCTATTTCGTCACTGTCATTTTGCTACTGTGATGAATTGGGCAATCCTGTGAAAGGGTCGTTCAGCCCCAAAGGGGTCGCGACCCACAGGTTGAGAACTGCTGCTCTAGAGGGCGGGTGTGAGAGAGGAGCACGTGCCTGTCCCCAAGGGAGAGGGGACAGTGATGTCAAGGAGGGCTTAAGATGGCGGCTAGGTACTCGGGATGGGCCAAGAAGAGAGTGGCCTCCCTCGCACATCCTGGGGCTCTGTCCACTGCCGACTCCCGGTGTCAGTGGACAGAGCAGGAGCCTCCAGGCAGCCATGGCCATCTAAGGCCAGGTGGGTGCATGGCACTCCACTCTTGGAGTCACTGAGGCCACCGTGAGCCTGTGTGCCCTGTCGCTCTGACCTCAGAGCCCAGAACAAATGGGTGCCAGGGCCTTGTCTGCTCACGGTCATCACCTCCTGCCCCGGGTGCTGGGGACACATGCTGAGCCCGGGGCCTGGGGGCTGCCCGCTGGCTCCTCACTGTGTCCAGGGAGTGGCAGAAGACTCCTCGTGTGTGCGGTCCAGTGAGAATCTGGAACTTGCCCCCTCACACTTGGCTGTGTTTCAAAGTTGGCTTAGCTGGGCTGTCATCCCCACCCCTGCCACTGCCCTCCACGCTGCTCAGCTAGGGCCGGCCTTGGCTTTGAGACTCGGACAAAAAATAATGCATCCCCCTACTTGTGTGACCCCTGGCCAGTGAGTGTGGCGGGGGGTTTAGATGGAAGATCGAAACTACTCCCGGAAGAGGGAGCTGACTTCAGTGCTTATAAACCAGAGAGGCCTGGGAGCCCGTATGTACGCCTTCTTCTCAGTGAGCCTCGGACTTGGACTGGTTAAGAGTTCAGTGAGAAGGACGAAGTGAAAACCCAGACACATGCACACGCACGCACACACAGAGCCCCCTGCTGGCCCTGGAACGTAAAGCAAACCACACTGAACTTGAGCGCCGTACCTTCAGTTCCTCTCTCAGCATGACCACTTCGTCTCTAAGATCATCCCGCTCCCTCCGCAGGGAATCAAAGAACTCTTTCTGTCTCTCTAGGGCCTGCGCAGCCGTGCCAAGAGAAGAGTCGCGGTCAGTGGGTGAGGGGATCCGCAGGCAGTGAGCAGTGTGCCGCGCCCGAGCTTGACGGACTAGCAGGCCAGGCTTAGGCGTACCAACCAGGGTGCAGGTGGCAAGCTGCTTGTAGCTCATGCAAACAAGACATGCTACAGGGCATGCTTCCGGAAAGCAGCACGGACCGGAGGGCAAGGCAAAGTGGGCTGGGGAGGGACCGGGCTGCGTGTTGTATTTGCGCCATTTCCAGCATGGGCTCTGGTTCCGCCTTTGTGTCAGAATGAAGAGATGCCGTGTGCTTGTTAAAGTGAGGATTACGTAAGAAAAGAGGAAATACACATTTGAGAACCTCCTGAACCACACTGGGTTAGCAACCGGTGCCCGCTATTGTTGCATGCTGAGTTTGCCTTTGGCAGTTCAGAGGGGACACCCGCACAGACCCGATGGCCAACGAGCGAATCAAGGTGAAGCGGGTGCACTGTTCTCCCAGCAGCTCCGAGGCACCACTTGGGGCGAGGCCTCGCCTCAGTTTCAATGCAGGGTTCCTTTCTTCCCCTCCCCTCTTCCTAAATTCAGGTGGGTTTCCCTTCTTGCATGAAGTGGGGGGTGTCTGAAGGGTCTTCTCAGAGGGGGGGATTTCAAGGTGGACCCTTGTGGGACACTGCACCTGCCACCCTGCAGCTCCCTTGGACTCTCAGTGAGGAAGAGCAGGTGGGGAGTTCTAGCAGGCTCTGAACTTCAGCCCCTCAGCCCTGCTGCCCAGCGTCACAGAGAGGGCTCGGTCTACGCTGGCAGAGGGTGAGGTTTCCTGCTCAAAGTCAGCTGCGCACCCACCAAGTCCGTGCCCACGAGGGCGAGCGGGGTCTTCCCTGGGACTGTGGGTCCTTTGGGGGTGGGGGCAGGGAGAGGGGCACGCCGATCCGGGGCACGTGTGCGCACATGCACGCATGTGTACACACACGCACCCTGAGGGAAGCTGTGCAACCACATAAGCTTTGCACACCGGCCACCCTGGGGGGGCTGTGTGCCTGTGCATGAACACACACACAAAGCTTTGCACACCGGCCACCCTGGGGGG